GGTGGATCCAATGCTGGCCGTAGACTGACCGACTGGACAAGGGAGACAGGACAGCGACCTAGCCTCAGACTGGTAGGATCCTTTCTCACACCTGAAGCATGGCTCAAGTCCAGTGTCAGAAAAGTGACCACTGGGACAAACGCCTGCATTAAATATGTACGATAAAACACCAAGTGCCTATTGAGGGGGCATATTTTCAACCAGCAAAGTTCCCCTCTCTGATGGAATGCCGCTAGCTTTATACAGAGTGCATTTATTAAGAGATTGAGAAAACACTCACAAGAAGTGTTCAGATAAGTCAACATTTGTGCATTTTATGAAGATGTTTGCTCTCCACAAGATGTCAGACCTGAAGTTTTAACCAGTTATCAAGTAAGTTTTCACCAGAATGTCACAGGAAACTTCAACAGTAAAAACGACTTGTATAACATCACAGGTAAAACTAATATGCAGGGAACACTGACTAAACTAAACAAGTCAATCAGGAAAGTTTGCTGATGGCTTCCCACTCACCAAGGCAATCTGTTAGATTGGTAGACCCAATGCCAACAGTAGACGTTCCCACAGGACAAAACTTGCAGGTGAACTGGGGCTCCTGGTCCTCATCTTGATACCGACCAATAAGACACTCCTCACAGATCAGAGTGTCATTGTTGAAAAACTGACCAACTGGACAGGTAACTGGCTCAACAAAAATTGGATAAAAGAAGATCGTAAAGTTCTTCTAGTAACTACCATACATACATGTACTTTTATGATCCTGAACTTCCATCAAAGTTGCTTCTTGAATCCTACCAAGTCCACAAATGCCCATTACGTCCAGAAAAACAATTTGCAACAAAATTACCAATGAAAGCAAAATGCAAATAAACTCTATACAGTCTCTGATGGTTGCACGTCCAATGTTTTCCAAAATGTTTTGAGTGTTTGTGTGCAAGGATCAATGCCACAGAAATATTGCATGCTTGGCCGTTTTTTAACATTCGTTTAATTAGACCAGTTCAGGAGAATGGACGTGGCTAGAAAAGTGAGCCACAGGCAAGGGTGTTATCAGCATCCAAGCTCCTGAGCCGAAACAGCGCAAAGCACATATTTGTTCCCAGTCACACACACCTTTGTAGTCAGACAGTCAAAAAAAGTTTAAAATTACGAAGTTTCCAACCATTCCAATTCACACTTTTACTTTTTACTTTTATTTCAAACACCCTCCGTTCATTTTATGGCATGTTCTGGATGCCAGTAGTTGTAAACAATAGTCATCAACAGTCAATGTCTTTTCAGTGCACCTGAATTGTGCCTGCACTGTTAAAAAGCAATTGATTTATGGTCGCACCTGAACGTGCCCCGAAATTGCCCTTACATGTGTATATAATTTCAAGCCAAAGCCAGGAAATTCTGACATATAGCCACGATTTGGGTAGAATATTTAATGAAAGACTGACATACCACAGGTCAAGCTGTAGGTTGTCATGCTGTAGGTTGCCATGTATCCATGGGGACAGGATGGAGTAGGTTCCGCATACTCGAGCACAGGTTGTGGATCTATCTCCATGCCATCCACAGCAAGCTCCAAGCTGCCACTGTCTGCCATGACTTGTATGCTGTCTACTAGATCATACAGTCTGTCATAGCCATTCCAACTTTCGTTTTTAAATTCAAGATCTGACATGGTTGAGTTTGAAGGCAGCACATACTCAAGGCTGAATGATACTGTGAAGGAGTATGACATGGCTGACCGTCGACTACGAGTCCACTCGGTATTGGGTTTTGGTCTGGGTGCGGGCAACCGGCGGCGTTGGTTGCCGTGGCGATTTGGCGGCAGCTTCCCTTTTTCTCGCATGTGGGACAGCCACTTCTGGGCATGCTCAGCAAACTCGTCTGCCTCTGTCTCTGGCAAGCTGGCATTCAGCTGATTTAAACCAGGGCCAAAGCCCAGGGCTGAATCTTGCCAGATGCTGACGTCACGACGGCGTCTTGCGGAACCGCAGGTGACCTGTACATTGCCAACATGGCACTCGGCAGCATTTTGAGTGCAGATGGTTCTGATATCATCAGCGGTGTGGTTACCTAAAATCCAGATGAACTGCTGTCTGATCTGGGCTTGTGCATCAGAGGAAGAGCAGTCTCCACTAAAGTAATGCAGCGTAGATGGAAGATTCATTTGGCCAAATCGGCTTCTCACTGCAAGGACAGAAACCATTCTCTTATTATAACTCAGACATGGCACTCTGACCAACTTCATCTGAACAAGTTCAGAATTGGTGTGAGAGCTGCCCAGGGTGCTCTGTTGTCTGAAAGGGGCATCTTCCACACCTCAGTATCATCTCCATCTTTGGCTTCAAGCCCTAATTTCACCAAATTGGCTCCCCGAGTTCAGCCATTGATGCATCTTCATTCTGACTGAAGAGACACCAAACTGTCCAATATCAAGCCCAACGTAGAAGTATTTCACTTGGTTTTATACAACACACAAATCCCTGTCACTTTGTTGGTAGATTGTTTAACTGGAGACATGGGCTTTCAAAAATTATACTTTGTGAGCTTGTCACGACATTTGATGATGTCATCAGATATCACTGCTCAGTGCGCACCTTTAACTTGAGGTATCTGGTTTGCTGTAAGGTTTACTGATCAAAGTCCCATCTGGAGCAAGAATCTACAAAGTCTACAGGATTTAGGGTGTAAGAATAATGGGAAAAAGGGGGGGGAAGGACAAAATCAATGGCTTTCCTGTAACTGGTGGAAAAGCAAAAATAGAGAAGTCTTGATGAAAGTGGTGCCTTAAGCAGAGGCCAATTACAACTTACCAGCACAATCGGGGAATCTCCGAACTGGCGCCCATAGTCCACTTTGACCACAAAATAGAAATGTATGTAACGGATTGGTGTGTGGGGGCGTATCATAATTTGCATTACAAAACATGGAACAGAAGCGTCCATAGATCCAACTGTCACAGGCCTTGGCTCCGTGCCTAGGTGGGGCTAGAGGTGCACAAGGAAGGGCTGGGAACAAAAAAGATTCAAACAGATTTTATGCAGTCACTTGGAGCACCTCATTAACTTTCAAACAATTATGTGAGCAGATATCATCAGCAAAGATGAAACTATTACATACACCAAAAATGAAATGTGGTATTTGGGGAAAATTAAGGGAAACAATTTATGTCCTGAAGGAAAAACAAAAACCTATTTCATTCTCCTTTCATGGGTGAATATTGCTTTAATCAATCGGTAGAATGTATTTGAAGTTCACTCTGAAGGAGTTTTACTTCAGTAAAGTATAAATTTCAATACATGTCCTGCTTTTTTTTGCTTTTCACAAGTGAAAGACTAAAAAGCAAAGTGTCAAGGTCAACGTAAACAGGACGGCTAAATAATTCCTAAACATCTCACTCCAAGTTAGAGAATTGCCTTGACTGAAGTCATTTTGCTGCATCAATTCATGGCATTTTCTTGTTGAAAGCGGTTGACAACATTAAGGTGAATTTGCCAACAACTACTCTTAACCTTGGAAAACTATACTTTAATGGGGGAAAAGTATTTGTCTGTCTTTCTCTCTGCAGATGAAACTCCTGTGCGCATTGTCCATGCACTTAGTTACATCCTGCTGGTCAATGAGTTTTTGTAAAACAAATCACACAGGCTGCCCTTTTGACAATTGAAAATGAACGATTTTTAAAATATCTTTCTCAAAGCAGTGAACTCAACCCATGTAAAATCCATGGAACGACAGCTGCAGTGAATCATAAACCCAACAATCACTCAGTTTTGTAAAATGTGATCAAACAGCCAATGGTGTACACTGCCTTGGAGATATACCACCAGTAGTTTTCAGAAGAATTATGAAAACACAATTGCTGGTTGAAAGAAACATCCCCCAGGAAGATGTCCACACATACGTGAGTCAGTAAAAGTAAGCTAAATCAACAGCTTCACTAAACCCATATACAAAATATTCAATTCTCATCTCATACTCCCCCCCCCACAGGAAAACCAGAAGAAAAGAAAGAAAACTGACGGGACACAATCTTGAAAGGAGGTCAATTCAACATGGGACTCAAACCAGAAACCACTGGTCCCTTTCTGTCTCTAATGCATTTAGAACTGTAGCATGGCAGAAATGAACTATGCAGTGGAAAGGTTGCAGGCCAGACACGAGCCAGGGCAAAAAAATGTTGTCGCAGCCTTTAATAACGCCATTTATTTCGTAACAAGAATCAGGAGACTCTATGGAATGAGCAAAACACAACCACTATAAATGCAAGGATTTCTCACAAATTACGTAAGTGCCTATAACTAAGGCCAGTTTGTTTCACAGGGATCTGGATTTGGATCAGTGATCCCATTGCCAGTGCGAAGTATCCATTAGGTGGGTTTCGGTGTCAGTGCATCAACGGCGGATCACTGATTGCGATCTGGATCACTGATTGCGATCTGGATCACTGATTGCGATCTGGATCACTGATTGCGACCTGGATCACTGATTGCAATCTGGATCACTGATTGCGACCTGGATCACTGATTGTGATCTAGATCCGCGTGAAAAAACTGGCTCATGGAGTTCTCACGTGTGACTGTGACCCTGAATTGGCACATCGCGGTCTTGCCGTTGTCAAGGTTGGTTGCACTGCACCAGATATTGTAACTGCCCCATGGGACGGATAAGCCATTCTGGTGACTGCAACTGACTTCCAACACATCACCGGTCAGCTCTCGGAAAACAGGCTGCAAGAAAAGCAGCCATCAATTCAACTTCACATCTTATTAAAACCAGCACTAACTCCAGTACTTGACTTTTGAAGAAAATCAAAGGTATAGCAATAAAGATTTCGGCTGATACAGGAACAAATGGAATCTGCGATGAACCACAATCCTAGGGAAAATTAACTAAATTTAGTTTTATGGAACAAATGTGGAGCACTGCACAAGCTAGACTTCGTGTCATTGATAAGAAATAATTTCATCCTCCCCAAGTAGTTTGTAGAACACTTACAAGTTGGAAAGATGATCCTGCTGTGGGCTATACATTCCTGGACTGATATAGCCCTTAAAGGGCTTATAAAAAGTGGTTTTTATTTAATTGAAACTCGTTCGTTTTTTAATGATGTCCAGAATGTAAAAGCTGCTGCTTAAAAAAGTTTTTAAGGCAAATTTCCATATCTGTGACGTACATTTGAGAAGACATGGTCACACACCGCTAGCGCGTCTATACTTGTCTTGGGTCGAGTTCAAAGATTTAGTCAAATTTTTGGCTATTTTAGAGACCATGTTGACCAGATGTGTTGTCGCAACACTTATAAAGATTGGACAAGCCTGCATAACTTTGCAAACAAAGCGAAATTTTGGCAAATTGTGAGAACGGAAGACAGGCTGTCAGTCATGGTCAGGACTGACAGCGAGCTCCAAACTGTGCAGTGCACGATTCGAAGTTTCTTCCAAACATGTATGACATGTATGGGATTTGATTGAAATGACTCCTGAAACCAGGTGTCACGCCCACAATCTTTGGGAAATCAAAGAAAGCCTGTGAACAAAAACCGAGGAGGTGCTTTCATGAAACGCAAATGACAAAGGTTAAGAAATGCTTCAAATTGGCCTGGGGCTATTCCACTCAATACAGCTGTGTGCCTGACTAGAATTCAGCTGCTGTTGTGGGTTCTCAAATGTACATGTAAGTCACCTACAACACCATCATTTGTCAAGATTTAAAATTAACCACAACAAAGGAAGTTTTATTCCACTTTATGTCCCTCATGTTATTGGTATACATGTATCAATGAATAGTTTAAACAATTAATAGTTTGTCCACGGAGGTCTTCCTGGGCTGCATCCGAATCTCTTGTCTAGAGCTAGGTCTAGGTCTTCCCTCCATTAGAAATGCACGGAGAGGCGTAGACAATAGACCTAGCCGTAGCTCTGGAAGCCCATTTCGGACACGGCCCTGGACTCTTTAAAGTAGCAGAAAATGTTACGACTTGTTTGTGATCTTTCCATGGACTTTGTAACTGTTCCTTGGTGAAACATACAGCACTGCTCCTACTGCTGGACACCGGGACACTAACGCTACTCCTGCTTGTGAAATCAGCCAAAAGGAGATGGTTGCATGCAAAAACTACCAAAACCTTCCCCAATTATGACCATCAACTGAAGTTGAAGCTACGATTATCAAAACATATGCCCAATGTTATCCGTGTGTAATGGACTGTTCTGTAGAAGATGAGAATGTGAACTTTGTACCACTTGCAAGAGTGACCAACGTGTGCATGCAAGAGTGCAGGCTGGGCACAGTGCGTAGCGCACGCATTAGTAAATGGCACACAAGCTAAATGGTTTGAGAGAAGTAGGGCGATTGGTTGTACAACCCCTGGTCTGTTTCAATATAGAGCTTAGAAATGGCACATATAATGCACCTCATCACTACATCGGCACAACGGAATGGCTCAAGATGCTCTCATCTCCCTCCACGCAGCCACGAAGCAGTTATTGTTATTTCTAAACTGATATGATTTTTTCTGATCAATGATAAAGATCATATACCTCTGGCCATGTGATTGGTGTCAAAGTCTGATTGGCTGTAATATCCTGGCTTGGTGGGCAAAAGTCAAGGACAGGTGACAAGTTGTCTGTAGATTGGTAAAGAAAACACATATTATATAATCAGTAAATTGAAATGATTGCCTTCAATAGAGACTCAAAACAGCTTTATGCCTGGTGTTTAAGCCAACCAACAGACCAACAGACATTCTCTAGCAAGTAACAATACCTTGCTCCCCTTGAACTTTTGAACAGCCACACAAAAGCCAACTTACTGCTGGTATACAAACAATAAATGCTTTGCGCGGTGTCGTAAAACTAGCTCCTGAAATGATCCACGAAGGAATTTTGCACACTTCACATGATGATAAAGTGCACCGAGGGAGGCTAGTTTTACTACTTCAAGATAAAGCAGTCAATGCTTATTTGATAACGACTCTCGAATAACTGGTTGATTTAATCGAAATAAAACTGAATAATATTCCATTTGAATGTAAAATTTGTTGAAATTTCACAGGCAGTTTTCTAAACTAATTCTTCACAGAATATTAGAACCTAGCTCTTTTGCCCTAGAACTTGGAAATATGTAAGGTGCACACAATAGTATGCATTATTATTTACATGTACATAGTACTGGCTGCTGCACTTATAGGGCATTGATTGCTGCTCTGAGATTTGGCTGCTACAGGTAGAATTCTGTGGTTGCTGTGTGATATAGTACTTTGGTTGCTACAGGTATAATTCTGTGGTTGCTGTGTGGTATAGTACTTTGGTTGCTACAGGGAGAGTTCTGTGGTTGCTAAGTGGTACAGTACTTTGGTTGCTACAGGTATAATTCTGTGGTTGCTGTGTGGTATAGTACTTTGGTTGCTACAGGGAGAGTTCTGTGGTTACTATGTGGTATAGTACTTTGGTTGCTACAGGTATAGTTCTTTGGTTGCTA